GCATATCGTAGTTTCCATATGGTATTATATAATTGCATTAGAGCTTCAGTCGATGCTTGTACCCACTTGTCAAGATCTGATGGTGAGAAGATACCATCAGTAATACCACATGCTAACTTTACAATCTGCCATAAGTGGTTTATCGGTTTTGAGTCACTATTGGGGTGGAGAATTAGGTTTGTTTGTTTGATAATTTGGTTAGTCTCTTCTGAAGCTATTGAACATTTGAATATATGTTATATGTTTTCAGTGTAGAGTTCATATCGTGGACAGTAGGGATTAGGATATTGGTCTGGATATTGTTGGTGGAGATTTTCTCGTGTAGGAAGGGTTCCTGACATGAGTTTGATGCGAAAGGCGATTAGGTCACTATATTTGTTGCTTCGTGTATTCTTCAAGTCTTTATTAAATTTGTTGATAATTTTAATGCCTTAAGAACTGTGAAAAGAGTCGAATGTTTTTAGTACTGATGAGCTTTCCACTATTATATATACTTTGGAGATGCTGAGAATCTTTTTGCACCATCTGACGCTACTTCCCAGTTGAGAGTTGTTAATTGGAGGGTTTTCTAAAAAGTGCAATGTTGGATTGTTCCAGTTTATGATATTGTTGGCCCTTGGGTTTGACTTGGAGCTAGAATAAGTAAGAAGTATTGTTTTTTTGAGTATCATCTTGTTGATTTTTTGGATAATTGAGGAGAAGTTGACTTTCATCATTTTTCTAGGATAGTTAGAGATCTTTTGGAGTATCCTTTTGTTATTTCTTATTTCGATTTTACTGTTGGAAGGGCACCAATGAAGAAGGTCGAAGAGAACTTGCAGTAGGTTACTGGGTGAGAGGCCAGGATTGTTTAGTTTGATTTTGAAGTCATTTACAAAAATGTGTTTCTGATGACTTTGAATATGATATGACTGAGGAAAACCAATTTTCTGAAGTGTTGAGATAGGAAGGGAGTTAGAAAAAATGTCTATTGATTGGAGAATATGTTTATTTTTTGGAGGAGTTTTTGAGATCTCTTCGATTATATTGCTTAGGCGATACTTGTTAGGATTTGAAGAGTTAAAGAGAACCCATAAGGAAGAAGCTTCTGAGCTTGTGAAGTTTATTGTACAAGAGCTGGCACTTGGGGTACCAGCTGGGCAACCGTTACATTTGATAAGAAAATTGTTATTGTCTATGTTGAAGTGTCTTCCTCTAAGATGGAAATTTTCCTGAATATGGTAGCACCTTCATGTGATTAGATAATCATTCTTCTCTAGGTAGCTAGATGCCATTCAAGACATAATATAGATTTTGAAATTCTTTTTTCTATATTCTTGGATGGTGCCAAGAAACACAGAGAATGGACTGCATCTGCAAAGCCTTGCATTTAACTCTTCCTAGCAAAGAGAGATGTATATTATACTGTAAAAGTATTATAAATCTTGTATTCACAAATCTAAAATTATAATAATAAAATAAAGTGTAATAGCCATCTGCTCTTTCAAAAAAAATCAATGTATGCGTGTCATATGATATAACTTATGTGTGACATGTGGCTTAGATATCAGTCATTACTCCATGTAGAACACCATACTCCTTTCTTTTTCCTTTAAAAAATATAAGTCTATTGGAAATAAAGTGAGTTTATTAAAAGTTTGTGATTGTTTTAATTACTTAATATTTTTGCTAACTTTGCAGAAAATTTTTCTTAACGAAGGAAAACCTTTCAATATGAGATGCTCTTTTTGTGGAAACCAAGTGACTTTTCTTAGCACTTACACTTTGAACTTGTCAAGTGTTCTACAATTGACAAAAAGTATCTGTGTTAACGACGATTGTTCGGATAAATTAGTTGCAATGTGTGAAGAACTACAAACAGTTATTAGCATCAAAGATAAGGTGCGAGTTGTAAAAAGACGCGCATGTTATTGAAGGAAGAGAATGAATATGACTATGAGTTTTTGATATATTTATATGTATGTACTGTATGTATTGCGTAGTAGACGAGTCTATGACTCAAGAAGCTTTTGTTTTGGCTACATTTTTATATCGATAAAGCTCGTATAAAAGCTTACCATAAAAGGATATTTGATACAAAGTGTAGTAGCGTACAGTTATATTTATATGGTTATTGGGAATGATGTTACTAACGAGGGTTCCTAGGTAGTCTTTTAGGATATTCAGTGAAAGTTTCTTGAAGAGTTGCTGTCAGAGCGAATAGTTACTAGGATTTTCGGATGGAGCTATAGATGGAGGACTTTCTCTGTCAGCATCCAAAAGTATAAAATGTAATAATCATCCCCTTTACTTAGTTCACTATTTTCTTGGCTCATGGTGGTAAATAGGTGAGTTTACTATCCCTTGTCGTCTCATCTCCATCTATATAACGATCTTGGGTTTGAAATTATGAAATTAGAATGTTTAGAGATAGAATGTGATTCATGATTTGTAATTCCGAATTAGCGATATGCGTAACGCGAGAAAAAATAAATTACAAAGTCGGGTACAGATCCTTTCTACTACATCTAATCTATTCGGATATTTCTGTGAGATTACTTGATGACCTATGCTTTTTTAGTACCCTCGATTGGTCTCCACCTTGTGAAGCTTTCACCGGTTTCTGCACCTCCAACAATCAGATATGAGAAGCACTTTCTTTACCATGGCTTTCATATCAGTATCATCATACACAACAATTACCGGTTTTGATAGTTTGAACTTTGGTCTATATTGTTTGTCCAGCGAGCATTTCATAAAGTAGAATTTTTGGCATCGGTGACTATTCCAAAAACTTTTCTAATTGTTAGTTCCTTTTCCACATCACTAGCCTTGCGCTTACGATTCGACAAAGATGACTCGAGCTGAACTGCCGTTTTTGCTGCTCGGCTTAAGTCAACCGCGAAATCAACAGGACCATGCCTCATTTGAAGTTATTCGCTCCAGCAAGCAGGTATGAATAGACGTATATAGATTTCGTGGCCTCCACAGGTAGCAAAGTGAGTGAGGTGCTGTCAAGACGGAATTTAATTCGATAATAAGATTTCAAGGGTTCATGCGATGGTTCAACACTACCACACGAAAAAACAGTGAATACAGCCAATGTTGGATCCATTGTTTCACCGCTAAGATCGTAAACTGGCAAATCGAGCCGAGGTCCAATTTGAGGGAACATGGTGAATTGAAGCTGTTCTTTGACACGAGTAGCTGGAGCATTTTACAAAGGTTTTGATCATTTCGAGGTGAGTATTTTCCGCTTTCGCTTACTATGTTGAACACTGCCCATCATTTTCAAGTGCAGGCGTTTGGTATATAGCATATATGAGTTTTTTGAGGCCCTCGAGGGTTGTATAATTGATATTTACAGTTCGCTTGAATCCTTTTGTCTGCCTTGGACTCACGATAATGTCGAACTCTGCGATACAAAGGTTTGGTTGTAAACAATTTTTGTCAAGAAAATATTCTGGTCGTTTCCTTGAGAAACGGTTTTTGCAAAGAATTTTTGCTTCGTAGGCATATATGTACCATGGACAGACTTGTTAATAGATGCCTCCAACGACGCGATTCGGTCAAGCAATTCCTGCTCACGACCCGAAGTGGACGTGGGTGGTTCATATCGTCGTGATTGTCAAGAATTTCCACCTTCCATATACAGTATATCACTGTTACATGATGCGAGATTTAAAAAATCAATTTTCTTCGGTAGGATTATGAGGAAGTCAAATAATTGAAAACACTACCACCTCGTTGCATACGTCTGTTGATTATAAGATTTTTAAAGTGACTCAAAAGATCTTGATATGCTCCTCTGACCAGGTTATTTGGAAGTTATCGATAATACAGTATGTTTATAATAAGAATGAAACATTTTATTGGATATATTTTACACAAATCACGTGATCACAAGAAACTTGGGTCGCTGAAATTTGTCAAGAAAAATATTTTTTAATACAGAAATAAAAAAACAAATGTAGCCAAATACATGATGTAATCTAGTTTGTTGTATATAGTGTCTGCATCACTAAGCTTTTATTCAACAGCATAATATTCATTAGAGCATAATCGAGATGGAAATATCTTGGTATACCGCCAAGATCCTTCATAAGAACATTCAGTCGCATAGTACAGAAGTATCAGCAATCCGAATTCCTATGCTCTGTTGATCAATCCGAAATACAGTATTGTGTCCTTTGCTTATTATGATAAATGTTTCTTATATCCCGCGAAGCATTCCTATAAAAATACATCACAATTTGTTAAAACCGAATCAAGAGGGTACACTTCATATTTTCTCGAGGTTATAAAAAAAAACATTTTTGTTGCCATTGATAAGAGCCATGCTCGCTTCAGGATCTTCCCATGTGAGTTCCGATGAGTTTATATTTTCGGAAGCTTGCCGACCGTTTTATAAAAATATTTTATTAGAAAGCTCTTTCCTAAAAAAATTAATTTTTTTGAGGGAAATCTTTTTTATCCTTGGTTTTAATTTAATCGGTGGGTGGATTTTATCCGCGCCATTTTTTTCTTTACCTATGCTATTAAAAAACTTACAACCTTTTCGGATATTTCCATCTAAACTAATACTTGAGATTCATTCTTACCATGGTCAGGTTTTAATTCCTTGCATAGTTTAATTATGGGTTCCCCCAAAATCAAATGAGACCTCGAGATGCTTCTTCGTTTTCAGATTCGGCACTACCAATCTTACTCGTCTTTGAATTTATTGATCACAATAAAATATAAGTAAAAACTTATAAATTTTAAATATATACGGTATTGATCTTCAGTTAATAATTTATGGCACCAAAATTTTTATTGCGCAAAGTTTAAAATAACATTTATTATTAAGGAGCGAAAATTGTTAAAAGGGAGGATCCCCGAAAACTTTGCGAAACTATCTTATTTATACATCATGAACGCGTCATTCTATCTAAATACCATGACTTCATTATTACATGATTACCATTCTTGTTGCACACCCACCCTTATTGTATTCATAACAAGTATAAAATGAAAAAAAAATGCCGAATACTTTTCAGGGGATTGTACAGGTAGGAGTTCCAGTCTGATCGTTCTTACATACCAGATCTTGTTTACAAGGTAGAACTGAACAATTATCACCAAAATTAAGTCCATCATCACAATCCCCAATAATCCTAGAAAAAAAGCTACAACGCTTCATGAAGTGAAGAGATTGATCTATCAATCAAGCATTAAATAATGATGAGAAACCGAAATATCACGAGAAAAACTTTAATATAAGGCAAATGGAAAAGAATTGATTTTAACCTTCATGGGCAGGCAATGCATGAACCAGCATGCTACTGGCGATACAACAGATAACAAGAAGACAAAGAAAAAATTTCATCGTTTTTGTAAGGTAGGGTGGTAAGATATACTGTATGCGTTGAAATTAATGGTAGGTATTAGATATTTTGATTTTCTGTTATCCAGAACAGACTGATTTTTAAGAAATAAGTAGCGTCAAACCATTCTGAACAGGCATTGTATATATAGAGAAAATTACAGGCTAATTAATTTATCTTTCTCGGTTTAAATGTCTTGCTTTTAGCAAAGTTTGAGATGTCGAAGAAGATCAATCAATTCCGATAATGTTTCAATATATGTACGTCATTAATTTTTTGATTTAATTTTTTATTCAGTTAACCGTTTTTGCTGTTAACGATCGACGTTAATGACATCATGACGCTCGATAATTAAGAAAGTTACCTAAAATGGTAATTTACCATCAATCTCGTTATTTCTTTAATTTATTCTGTTACAGACAGTATTTCATTTTATTATTTCTCATGTCGCAAAAAGAGTAAGATGTAAAAAGGAAAAAAGACGAATAGTAATAAAATCACTTATGACATAAAATACCTGCTGTCCAATAAAGATCATCCAATCATAAAAACTCACCAAATATACGCTCCTTTCCGCCTTACACGCTTCATAAAATCTCTGTCCGTGCGCCGCGAACGATCGTCATATAGATCCAGCCCCTAATGATAGTAAGTAGAATTATTACCCATTAATGTGTAATAAAAACAGTTGCTAATTGGTCTCTCAGAGTTAGCTAAATATGTGCCTGTCAGGTTTTCTCATGCATTGTGTTGATAAATTTGTTTAAGTGTAAATGAATGAAGTTTATTCGTCTCAGCCTGATGAGATGCAGATGTTAGTTCAGGGTTTTCTGTCCATGATTTGTTCTTAACCCAATCTACGGTATAACGTTTAATCCGATCCAGCACTTATTACGCCATTGAAATTCCGTAGGCTTTGTCAATACTAATCCCTTGACTTCACAGTCTAATAGCTTATAATCACTCCCGGATCTTTAGGTTTTCTTATTGTCCGAAGCGTAGCGTAGGACTACCATTCTACACCAAACCTGATACGTCCTGTCTGTCCGCACGCGTAATTTTTTTTTAACGCGTATTTTATTGTCCGAAGCGTAACGTAAGACTAAACCTGACATTACTTATCTGTCTACACGTAATAACATTACTTAGAGGAACGTACAGTAAATTAAAGTCTTTAATCTATTAAGCCGATAATGATATTTACGATACAGATATACCGATACAAATGGGTAATTCTTTTTGAAGGTGACAAAAATGCTAGATATGATTTTTTTGGACCCAACTTTTAAACAATACACATATAATATAAATTGTAGAAAATAATTACCCAAATAACGAAAATATGCATGATGGTATATTTGATTCACTTTTATTTTGAATTTTTTTGACAAATACACAAATAAAAATATGCAAGTGAAAATTTAATATACAGTATTACTCGGTCGATAAAAAAAAAAAGGTCGGTTGGTCACCTGACCGAATTATTTAATTATTAAGATTGCATTTATGATAACATTAAAATAATTATTTGTTGCTATCAAAAAAATTGACATAATTTAATCCTTCGCTTCGGACGCACCAACGATTTCTGTTACCTAGTAAAGATTTGATTCCGAAACATTGGGTAAAGAAGCCTTAACCATTGTATAAATTGAGACTTTGCAGTTTTCCAGGTTTAGATCTAATTTCCGCAACTTTACATTGATATGATTCACTATAAACATACCAGCACACAGGTTCTTTTTGATATCATTTTTCCTTCCGCAACTTCGTATCGGTAAATACAGTAATATAAAATTTTCCTTTACAGAATATAACACAGTATATGAATAAGTTTTAATTCAGTCGAAGTCGCAATAGTAGTTATTCGTGTACCAGAGATGGACACTCGATCCGGAGGTCTTTGTGGTTTTTTGAGAAATTTTCGAAAAGTAGTAATGCTAAATCCTACCTTTTTGGTAATAACAACAATCTGTTATATCATATATGTGGTATTGATTCAATTCCCAAAATCCTTAAAAATAATTGCATCATGACTCAATTATTTATATGTTTTAATAGTGACTCAATTAATTCATCAAATAATTGCATCAATTGTATCAAGGATCTATGAATTTCAGCAACATACTGTATATATGTTATATATTAATAATTAATTTATAATTTTGAAAAGATCAATGATGAAAACACTAATATATGGTACTTTCATGGCTTTTAAATAGAATAATATATATATAGAAGTTGCATCCTGCTTGATATTTTTGTTTTTAGATCTGGCAATCTAAGTCAACTAAATCCTTTGAAATGTTTACTAAAAGATTTTGAAGTTGCATTTCATTTGACCATATGGTTTCTATATTTGATAGTTTGTGCCAACCAAATATTACAGTTTTGGAGTATTTACTAGGAAGTATATATTCATATTTAAATCTTCTCTGAATCTATAACTGCATGAGTCAAAGTTGTAATGTGAAGAATTATTTATTAATTATTAATATGTATTAAATCAAATTGTTTTTTTTCTTCTTTCAATATTTCTGAGTATAGACTTTAGCTACTTAGCACTATTTTAGATATGTTATGGTTTTAATATTTGTTTTTCTTACTATTTAAATGGTTATAAAAAGTAGATGAGCTAGCAATAAACTCATCAATTAATTGTTCATATAAGAAATATTGTTATTTTTTCTTTGTAATAATTTTTTAATTTTACAATTTAATAAAATAACATTGTTTTATTATTTTTAAAAAAAGAATAGATAAAAAAAAACTTATTTTCACTTTTTCTCCTATGCTTGAAATTTTCTTTTTAGAAAATTTTTAAGTTGTTTTCTTTTTCTTTACTTTTTTTTTATTTCTAATATTATTTTCTTTTTCTATTATTCTCTTTTTTTCTTTTTCTTCTACAAATTTTTTTATTATATTCTTTTTTTATTTTATTCTTTTTCTTATCTGTCAAGATTGGATTTTTTTTTTAAAACCATCACTCTTTATCTCTTTACCTCTTTGACCAGTTGACTTCTTTTTCTAAGAAAGTAGTAATTTCTCTTATGTTGTTAGCTTTAGAAAATTTTTTGTTTCCATAATTTTTTAGAAAAAGTTTAGATATTTTACCCTTCCAAAAGACTAGCATAATTATTATAGTTATATTCAGTATTGTTTACTTGTTAATAGTTGGACTAAATATATTTAAGAAGCCATTGTACAACTATTGTTATATGAACTTCCAAGAAGTTGTATCATACAGTATCCAATTATATGATAGTTAATGCCAATATAAAATTTTACAAGTAACATGTTGGTGTTTAAGATATCTAGTAAAATGATATATAATAATCAGAAATTCTAGTTACTTCTGTAAAGAGAGCTGATGTTTATACAGAAGTTCTTCACTTATATTTTGACAATATAAGTCTATATATATGATTAGGTAACAATATCTGACAATTAATAATATAATTTAGAAATAAAAGAATAATAATTACATATTATAGAGATTGTCAAAATAGATAATTAACTCTTAACCTTATTGTTTCTTTTATTTTTATTATTTTTGTTATTTTTGTTATTTTTTTTAATTCTTTTAGTTCAAATATTTCTTTTAATTCTTTTAATTCTTTTGTTATAAAAAGTATAAAAACAATATAAGAAAATATAGTAAAAAAAAATGTAGAAAATTAGTTAATAAAAAACAAAAGTGTTTACTAATTAAAAATTACCATATTTATTATACTATTGTGATAAATAAAATCTTCTTAAATTATACAAACTTATTAAATCTATACCTTCTTTTGTTTTTATATTCTTATTATATCAAATATTTTTGTCAAAGTATTGCAAAATCAAAAATTTCACTATTATTATTGATAGACTTTTAACTTATAATAATATTATAAAAAATATTTGAAGATTTCTATTATAAAAACAAAAACTTACCATTATGATAATTTATTCAAAACCTGTTAAAATTTTTGTTAAAAAGATTTTTTCAAAATCCAAGAATTTTAAAAATTTTTATTATTTATCTATTAAATATATTAATTGATATATATTAAACAATTCTTTTTTAATAAAACATATGTATTATAATTAATCTATAGGTCTATAACATAATAATTAATATTTCACAAGTCAGATTATAAGATACTGATTCAATCCTAAATGAAAGTGATTGAACAAAACATATATAAATAGTATCTGATACCATAACCTATCAAAAGTGCTATTTCTCATAAGAAGATATTTTATATGCTAATTTAATAGATGTTGAGATTGTGACTTTCCTGAAAAGATGCTATAATGTAATAATTGTCTAGTTGATATTACAATAATTGCTAGAAGTTACAGGATATATGAGGTGTTCATTTTTGATAAATAGGTTTGATGATTGCTTTCCTAATATCTGATATTTTTTTACAAATTCCTGTCCTAATATCATTCCAATTCAGTAATAAACCAATTTAGTAATACTTATTTTGAGAAGGCATTTGGCAGTAAAGCTTGCTTTATACAAAGTTACATAAGTCTCTGTTTAGACAGTAAGAATCAGTTATAAGTTTATCTTGAATATTCTTAAGTATTATATAAAAATTAAATGATTAATCCAGCTGCATGTGGTAAAGGAATTTATTTTCAATATAACAAGCAGATATCATGTAGTTTTATTTATCATATAAAGGATATTACTTTTAGTACATCCCTTTACTTTTTTTAATCCTCTTTTTATAAAATAAAACAATTAGTAAATATACTAATGACTTGGCAACAAACAAAACTTTGGCATGTTTGTATCAACTTTTATTTAATAAAAAAAGTTGATAACAATAACTAATATATGAAGAAATCACTATATAATTTAATATATATAAAAATAATTAATGTTATAGTATAGTTTTATATGATAATATATATGAATATATAGTATATAAATATTAATCTTAATAAAGTCTACTAAGCAAAATCTATACTAGTGTTTAATAAAAAAAATAAAATATATATATTATAGTTCTAATTAAGAAATTATTAACAAATTAAAATATTGATATAATAATTTATAGACAAAGTCATTATTATTTAATCAAGAATTAATTACAGTTAATAATAATAAATTAA